GAGCACGCGAATCATTCTTATTCAAAGTGGCTAACGGACACACACGACCCTTGTCAATCCACTGCTGCAAGAGGGCTTCCCCATACCGTGCGGGAGATGAGAGATATTTTGACCATACTTCACCCTGTTGGTCAGTGCGGGTTGTTGAAGATGGCTGAGTGGTGGTGGTGGTGGTGTGCAGAGCAGAACATTTATTTTGCTGCACGGTCTTCCACTGCCTCAATGCTTCTCACCCACTGCACATGGCAGTCACCCATCCCAGCACAATCCAGGCTCAAAATTTCCGACAGATGGGATCCAAGGAGATCGGGAAAATTCCGGGTGGTTTAATCAAAGGCCAATGTGGTTGATATCCCACGGAAAATATTGACGCGATTCGCGGGATGATCTACCGGTGACTCATTTATCCAGGATCATATCAACATTTTGTAAAATAAGTAAATGCGATTGAACTGCTTATTCACATAGCTTGTACAAGTGAGAAAGTGCTAATCTTCAGCCAGTTGAGGGACGACTTACAAAAATGTAAGCAGCCTTCTCAATTATTCATAGAGGCTGAACGATTATTGCCTGAACTTATACAGGGCAGTCCACATGGCATTTTCAGGAAGCCTACCTGAATATGTAGTTGTGGCTGAACAATCCTGAAACATGTTTGGGTGATTTACAGATTTTTTATTTTTTAGAATGTACAAACAAAACTGACTTTGATAGTGAGTGCATAGATATGGCAATATTTATTTTGGATTTGCGATCATATCTCAGGACGTTGTATGAATTGAGGGAGCGAGGTATGGATGGGACTTGTATGACAGCAGGGCTTGGTCTTATTAGTTTGGGATGGGAGAGGCCAAAGTGTCAGGTAGGACATTGCTCAAGCTGCAAGTGACGGCCATTAGATATTACATCGTCTCAATAAGCATTTGAGCCGAGATACACATTGACTTTTTAATATGCTGCAATCGCCAGGTATCCACAGCTCACCTATTTGATATCGGAGTAGAGGGGATACTGTGGCGGGCGGCAAGAGCACGGTGGCAGCAACATCCATCGTTGCACTGTACTTCTATGCTTCCACCATCTATGCTCTTTGCCTTTAGCAACTTGGGTCGTTGCTTCGGAGCCCGAGGAGGTCGTTGATGATCGATCTTCGGTCGCCGGGTTTGACGGGTGACCGTGAGTCGTGATTTCTCACTGAACAGAGTGGGCCGCGAGAAGGCTGGCCATCTTCCACTACACCAACTCACGCCGACCAGTGGCGTGTTGAAGTTTTAGTGAAGTAACCCACACTTCCCCCTCCCCCAATTGGCCTGAACGTGGGGGGGGGGCTTCATCCACCAGAGGACTAAAGCAAGAGGGCCGTGTGTGAACATGAGTATAAACACTGCACGGCTGAAATGTAAACGTGCAAGGTATTGAGGCATGGCGAGATAATTTGTTGGCCCGTGCAGAAATAATTCAACATCTGCGCGAGAGTACATGTTGTTTACGAAATGAGTGACGAAAATGTTGCCAACGAAGTGCTTGTTATTCTAGTCAACGATGCATGTTGAACTTCTTTCGCACCATACGTAGCCAACCGTGTTAATCGGATGTTGAGTGGATGAACGTCATCTCGCGCGACAAAACGACATTAACGAGCTCGACACAGACTCCGTAAACGTTTGTAACGTTGCATGAGACCACGGTGCACTGGAAATTGCGCGCCCCTCGAAGCAACATTTTAATAAACGAGAGTGGGCGACATTTTCGACTGCTTTAGTTGAACAAAAATAGGAATAGGTTGAATCCTTTCTGGCAATAAAACGGGTGTTAAGGATGTTCAAACACCAAATAGAAACCTTTTGCAAGGAATCAAGTTCGCATTAACCACACATACTTGTGGTGAAAATGCAAACAAACATAACACGATGTAACACCATTTTTGTTCCTGGGTACTAAGTGTTATTTTTTAATTGCTTATGCCTAAAAAGTATAGAAAATGGCTATTATTCCCCACAAACTTTGCTTTTGTGACCACAAATGCACACGTTTTTTTCATCAAAAATAGGAATATTTCAAAATATCAATGTCCTGGTCATAAAAGAAAAGTTTGTGGGGAATAATATCAATTTTCTGTACATTTGAGGCATAAGCAATTAGGAAATAACACCTCCCAGGAAAAAAAATTTTGTTTGGATACACAGTGTAATGTATGCATTGTCTTTGAAACCGATTGGCCTACACAAGAGACAGCCTTCTTTAGGGCCTCGTCTCACCACCAGTGGTCAGACCAGAGAACGCCAAAGGGCAAACAGTACAAAGACAATGCACGTATCAGTTTTAGTTGTCTAAACGAAGAGAATGTGACTAAGTTCTGTCGTCGACGAGGCTAAAACTACGATTAAAGTGAAAATAAAACGTCGGCTAAATGTTTACGCTGATCCGCACCTTGGCTAAAGCCACCGCCCTTTTCCAGTCACGAACCTTCAAACACGCCCCAGCGATTCTGATCCCACGAAACTTGCCAGAATGAGCCGGCAACCCCGACGAAAGGAGTAATTAGGCACTCCGGACCCTCATGTATAATTTAGACAGCACCTTATTAATTCATAGAACTCATGTGTTCGCACAAGTCTTTAGTGCTTTTGCAGGGCACTGGTGAACTCGGGGGAAGTCTCAGGCATATGGCTTCCCCCATCCCAATGGGAATTCTATGAAGGCTCTAGTAACATTTGGAGGTGACATCCCTTAACGCACAGATCCCCGTGTCCATTGCCGAGATGTTATTATTCTCAATTATCCCCCCCCGCCCCCCCCCCCCCGTTGATAATCTACTGTAAAAGTTAAATTGTAATTTAAGTTTTCGTTTTGCAAATTTATATGAAAATCTGTGGAAAAGCGACGTTAACCGCACCTCCGATTAGCACGGTCGTCTTCGCACGGAGTGAACGAAGTTCAACATAAATACATAGAGGTTGTTTTGGGGTTAGATTGTTTAAATATAATATGTCGTTAAATATGCCACCACCCGCCACAGCCAATCAGAAAGATGTATAAATACATACACTGATATTTATTCGACAGTATTTTACAAATACCACTTTTCACCACGATCATCATCAGCCATGGTCAATCCACTGCTGGGCGAAGGCCTGCCCAAGCCACCGTCTCCCATTATCCCGGGCAACAATCCACATAGAACCTGCACACGAGCTGGATTCATGGCTCCATCTCTCTGGTGGACATCTGCTAGAATGTGTTTCCATTCCCCGGTGATGTTGACCCTTTTATATCTATAGCTTATGATCATAATAATACTGACGACATTTTAACACGTATTATTAAATAAATAAAATATATAATACAATTACAATTCTTTATCAGGGAAACGAATACCAATGAATAACAATTGAATGATTACCAATCTATTTATGTACAAAACCCTCCCCCTCTCCGCCTCAAATCACTGCACCTTGTTGAATTAAATGACGACGTCACCCTGCTGCTGCTCTATTTAAGACCGGGGGCAAGAGGAGAGCCTCACCATTCTGGAAAATCGCCCGATGAAGCTGAATGTAATTACCAGCGAAATGTCGTACTCAAATTTAAATGATGTTGATTCGCTCTTCAACGCACCGGTGGGTTAAAGAAGTGAATTATTTTGTCCTTTGTAAACGTGACACATTGTTTACTGTTTGGCCGTGTCGGGTGGTGGAGGGTTACGACACATGTATAAATAACGCGATCTAATCCAAAAAGCCTTTATTATGAATAATGACAACATGTTTGCTCTTTGTGTATTGTTCATTATAATGAGAATGCATTCGTTATTTATTTACCAGAACATCCACACAATAAACACTTCCAGTAGGGAAGTGTGTAACCTTGCACCTCTTTGATTCTTAATCGTTAACAAAAATGTAAAATGTTAATAACTACATAGGTTTAACGACATAAAGTAGTTGTGCTTATGTGCCCGTGCTGAATTTGTTTTTTCGAAAATCTGGCCTGTCATGTCACGCACCCCCAGAAAGGGCATCTCGGACCCCCAGGGTGTGCGTGCACCCCAGGTTAAGAAATCCACTGCAGTAGTGCCATGCACTGAGACTCCCTTAAAGATGGTCGGTCTAACTTTGCAGAAAATAGCGTATTAAAGTGTAAATAATCCGCAATAAAATATTTGTTTAACAGTGGCAAAGCATTATATATTGATGGAGTTAATGCGCTCCCCAATTAAATCACAATTAAACCCAGTCTGAATTATGTATGTGTAACCACTTGTCCCACCAACAACAACCAGAGCATGCATTGTATTTTGATGGCGTAAATAAATATTGACACAATATTTGTACCCAAGGGTGAGGATTATTTGTTAGGGTTTAAAACAAGGCTGCATTGCTCTGTATAAACATTGGGCACAAGCAGATGGTATGAACATGTTAAACAAGACTGAAAGTAAACTGTTTCGCAGTATGATTAGGAAAACAGTCTTAATATTAAGGTTTTAGTTAGAAAATAAATGGATATTTACTTATTTGAAAAGATTATTATTATTGTTATTTACAAATATTTAAGGCATACAAATGTACAAGTATTCTGAAGGGGAACTAATATTCCCAAATGTTGGTTCCGAAGGGGGTACAAATATAAATACAGATTGACTCTATATGGATACAGATGTACTTTTTATTGATAGAGATATACTTGATATCGATACAGATGCACTCTCTGTGCAAGGGAAAAACAGCCCACTTTGTTATGAAACCAAGTAAAAGACTATAAAATATTCATCAAGCAGAACCCATACAGCACAGCAGGATGGTGATAGCGATGCACGTGGCTTCTCATCCAGCACTGTGGAAGCGAGGGTTGGCGGATTGCAGAAATTTCAATTTAAAGCTTTCGTGACGGCAAGGATTAATTATTGGTTCTTTCGGTAAAGTCACGTAGAAGGGAAATAATACAATAATAAAACTAAAATATAATAAATAAATAATTTTTATTTCCCTTCTACGTGACTTTACCGAAAGAACCAAGAATATGGATCGCACAAATGTTGTGAAATTCCCTTCCCCTGGCCGTCCTCTGGCTCGCCAGGAGAAAGCAGTACAGCAAGTAGACTGCTCCTGTTCCGTCTGTATGGGACAGTGATTCCCCCTTTGTACATGTGGGCTTTTCTCCTGGTGCTACGGTTTCCCGCCAACATGTAAACACTCATTAATTGGCCGATAACACCTTTATATATAGAGGACAGCAGAGCATCGGCAATTGTTGGTGGCGTTTACCCACCGTGCGGCTGCTGCTGCCTTCCCACCTGTCTGTGGTTCCTCCTCCCCTTTGAAGTCGTTCTCTCTCTGTGAGAGCAAGTGGATACTGTGCGGCGTGCGTTACAAGTGAAAACAATTGTTATTATTCCTGAACAATCCCAAATATTGGTGTAGATATTTGAGTATATACATATATATTCCTTCTCTCGCATAAAACAATATGTGGGCATACATAATTCTCAGACACGGGTGCAGAACAACAAGAAGTAGAAGCGCACATATTTCGTCGATCGATCACCGAACTCTGCTGGTACGCAATGACCTAAAGAATGCTAGGGGGAGAGTTGCGGACTCGTTCAAAGTCTGCACGTGGGCTTGGGAAGCAACGGGGATTAGCAATCCCTCTGTAGCCATGCCCGCCACCCAGTACTCTTGGCTGGGATTGAGATTATAAGCAGGCAGAGCCTTTGATGCAGGGACAAGCGTGCTAAAACATTGCCCCTGGCAACACACACAATCGGATATGAAGACAGGACATCGATAGACTATATACGTCCTGCATGGCTCTTATGGGATTTTTTTTTATATTAGCCGTCTTATTTTCGTTGATACTGCGAAGATGAAGCGTGCTGCCAGATGGGAATGAACAATCTGGGGTTTTAAAGCGGCATGGTGAAAGTGAAATGAATGCTGCTCCATTGGAGTAATGGTTACACTATGTAACACAATTTTTGTTCCTGGGTAGTAAGTGCTTATTTCGTAATTGCTTATGCCTAAAAAGTATCGAAAATGGCTATTATTCCCCACAAACTTTGCTTTTGTGACCAGGACAGTGATATTTTGAAATTAACCTATTTTCAATGAGAAAACGGGCGAATTTTTGTCTTTTCGTTCACATAAAGTCAGAAAAAAACAACATATGAATCAAAATTAACATGTATTTATACTAAAGTAAAAAAAAATGACTACAAAAGATTAGAAGTGAGTAGTTTCTCCAGATTTACGATTATAATGCAAATCACTTTCACGAATCAGCCCCCAAATGTAGTCTCCCATCATGTTCTCGTTATACTGTCCTTGGTAGCGCCGTTCAAAATCCAGTATATGCTGGTGGAAGCGCTCACCTTGCTCCTCCGAGTACGCTCCCATGTTCTCCTTGAATTTATCAAGATGAGCATCAAGGATATGGACTTTGAGGGACATCCTACAACCCATTGTGCCATAGTTCTTCACCATTCTCAACCAGCTCCACATAGTTTTCGACCTTGTGATTGCCCAGGAAACCACTGCGACAAAGCTGTTCCAAGCCGCTTTCTTCTTACTAGTGAGCATCTTGGCGAATTCATTGCACTCCAGGATCTTCTTTATCTGTGGTCCGACGAAGACACTGGCTTTGATCTTTGCCTCAGACAGCTTGGGGAAGAAGTCTTGAAGGTACTTGAAGGCTGCCGACTCCTTGTCTACAGCTCTTGTTGCATAAGGCCCAATTTGATGTGCAGTGGTGGCATCAGCACCTTCCGGGGGTCCACCAGTGGCTCCCACTTGACGTTGTTCCTCCCCACAGAGAACTTGATCCGCTGTGGCCAGTCCCGCCTGTGGTAGTGCGCCTTGGTGTCCCTGCTATCCCAAAGGCAAAGATAGCAGGGAAACTTGGTAAAACTGCCTTGGAGACCCATCAGGAATGCCAACATTTTGAAGTCTCCGATGACCTCCCAGCCGCACTCATCATACGTCTTGATGCTGTTGTAATCCTATTTGAGGTGCACCGAGTGAGCCAGGGGAAGAGACGGGTACTTGTTACCATTTTGGAGCAGCATAACTTTGAGGCTCATGGATAAGCTGTCAATGAAGAGGCGCCACTAATTCTGGTTACAGGCGATTCCGATTGCCTCGAACAAACTGGTCACATTGTGGGAGAAGCAGAGCCCATCTTGACGGGTGAAGAAGCTGCAAAAAGGTTGGTGACGCTTCCTCTGATCTGCGACTTGCACACTTTCATCCAACAAGTTCCACTGCTTGAGCCTAGACGTCAAAAGCTCGGCATTGGACTTGTTGAGACCAAGATCTCTGATCAAATCGTTGATGTCTTTTTGGTTGAGGTAGTATGGGTTTCTCTCCTCAGCTACAACTCTGAAATTGTCACCTGGATCTACAACGTCTTCCTCGCTCTCTGACTTGCTACTCTCTTCTAAAGACGGCTGCTATCTCTCCGGAGGAGTGGGTACGAGGAGCTAATGACAGTGTGGCACCGGGGTGATGGATGAAGGAAGGTGATACGTGATAGCAGGTGCATTCTTGCCAGTCCGATGTTTAGAAGGGTCCACCATGCAGAAGTAGCAGTTGCTTAAGTGGTCAGTGAGTTCCCGCCAAATTCTTGGAATAGCGAACTTGATGGCTCTATTTTCCCATTTGTACCATCCTACAAAAATACTGTTATTTCACCCATGACTAATGTGTAAGAGATTCTCGCAAAATAAATTCAATAACATTGAAATTGTTAAACATTACATTTTTTTTTACTTTAACAATTTTATAAATTTAAACAAATTTTATAACATAAAATTCCGAGCAACAATTGTCCATCTTACCTTCCAGAGTTTTTTTTTGCATTGCTCGCAGGTGAAATGAGGTGCCCAGGGTTTGTCTTGATCCCCGACAGGCATGCTGAAATATGCCTTGTAGGCCTCACACATCGAAGCAGATGCTCACACAGAGTACTTTTTCGCTCTTGTCTTGATAAATTGGCCGCATACATAGCAAAATGCGTCTGCCGGATGCTTGCAGCCTCTTGATGCCATCTCAGAAAAATGCAGATATGCATCCACTTAGGCAGCTGGAACTCAACTGAACTGGTGGGCTTAAGGCCCCTGTATTTATACGACTATTTATATCACTGGAATGTTCGAGAATGTTCTAGAAGTTACTCCAAGTTTACTCAGCACTGAATCTATCTGGAATGTTCTGGAATAGGTAAATTTAAAAATTTCACTGTCCTGGTCACAAAAGCTAAGTTTGTGGGGAATCATAGCCATTTTCTGTACTTTTGAGGCATACGCAGTTAGGAAATAACACTTACTACCCCGGAACAAAAAATATGTTACAGTGTTATCATTCACTGGGCTTGCAATCCAGAGGTCGCCGGTTTGATTTGATCTCCCGGCGTGGCAGTTGAAACAATGGGGCAAGTTTTATTTTAAATCCTCTCCCCGTTGCCTCTGTCCCTGCAATTAGCCAATCGGCAGATCGTCTGCGGTGGGGTGAAGTGTGGGTACTCCCACCTCTTCCAAGACATCTGGCCAGCGTGGAAGAGTAGGCCAAATACCCTCTCGAGGGGCTCTCCAGTGGAGGCCCTTCCTCCAGCAATGCCGTGAGCAGGCAATTGCGGGGCTGAAGCTTATTCAGACCTTCACCATTGCCCACAGCTGAGAATCGTCAGAATGCTTTACTCAGATCCTGACCGTTCCGAGTTCAGACTCTGGTAATGGATCGACTAAGCCTGTTTTTTTTTCAATATATAAAGCGAGCACCAGTTTGTGCGAATCCGGCAGTAATTTCCCGACAAAGCGAGTGGCCCTCATCATAGGAACGTGGAATTGCCACCGCTTGCGTGACACCAAAACGCAGCAGAGTAGCAGCATGGTGTTGACTGATTCGATCAGCGAAACATTCATTTGCTTCACTCTGCACCAGTGCAGATCACGATTGATCGTGGAATTAACATGTTGGCTTCCCCAGTGTTTGCGGGAAAGAGTATGTGTTTTCTGCAACACCGTGAATTCATTTCTGCAGCTCTGAGTGCCATCTGGTGGTGACGATTGGAACTAGGAACGAGATATTATTGCGTATGATGTCTGCTGGTCACGACGAGAGGGCTTCAGGAGACAGGGGGAGTTTCGATGCAGTTTTGCTGTTCCTCCTCCATTGAAGGAGCGTAGACCACAGACGTTTACTATACGGTCCATAGATTGTGTTGCATGGCCTCAACTGCACTACTCTGGCTTGCCTTTAATTTCCCATTGGAGTGGAAGATGGCAGCAGCCTTCAAGCGGCCACAACCGTTAAGCGAGAAATCACGACGAATGCCGTCAACGCGGCGATCGGACATCGGTCGTCGATCTCCCGGTCCTCAGAGTGACAGCACGTGCGTGAATTTCCCATTTATGAAGGAGATGTGCGCATCAGCCGGTTGGTGTTCTCATGCGGTGAGTTATCCTATAAATGGACCGCACCGATCCCTTAGCCTCTTAACTTCGTTATTGACAGCCTCTTTGCCAATCAATTGCTTGATAAAGGTCTCCTCGGAATATATCGGTCATGGGAGTTGTTTGACCATACTTAACCATGCTGAACCGTGTGGGCTGTTGATGGGTGGGTGCAGATATTAACTCACCACTGATGGTAGCCTTGGCTTGGAATCAAACTCATATCACTGGCGCAGCAGCCTAACCACTACACCACCGCACCGCGCCATTTCCTACAATGGGAATGTGTAATTGACAATAATGTATCACTGGCTGAGAACAAACAAAGTATAGATGAACACTGGTAGACGCCGATTGCGGATTTTCTATTCGCAATGGTGCCTGCTGGATTAAGTATCGTGCGCGGTAATAATCCACGTGACGCCTGAGCGCAAGTCAGTTCCGTTTCTCCATCTCGCAAGGTGACGTGAATCTCAGAAGCGTTCCATTCCGTGTCTGCCACTCCGTCGTTGTTCTGCACCAGGGTGTCAGCAACCAAAATAACAAAAAAGCACAATTTTGCTCGAATTCGGTGAAAAAAATACCTAAATATTTCAAGAGCCGCAATGCAATGCGAATACGAGACGGTGGTGGGCCTTAATAAATGACGTCAGAAAGCGGTCCTTAAATAGCCGCACGTGGTTCTAGAGCTGCAGGTTTCGGAGCCCTGGTCTGGACCATCTGCCATCATTCCTTCTAGGCGTGACGCGTGTCGCCCAGACCCACTTACTCTTTTTTCGTCGACAGTTTGAATGATGTCTTTAATCTTCAAATTATTCCCGAATCCACCGGTGTTCTTCTCTCTGTCTCTCAATGTAATCCGAAGCTTGCGTCTCTCCACGCTTTTTTTTCATGCGCCCATTCTTACGCTGTACTTTGTGAGTATTCACAGGTGGTGGAAGCAACGGACTTGGCACCAGCTTCTGATGTCAGACATGGTCAGAGCCACGATATCTCAACACATTTAGCTTATGAACAATAAACTCATCATTCAACCAACATGCTCACCCTATGAGCAACACACTGCCATGCATACCAACAAACTTAAATTAACATCCACATTAGGACAGTACCCTCGCCTTTCAGCTCAACCTCCATCTCTCTCTCCCCCCTTGTTTCTGCCCCCTCCCCCCATTGTCTAATGCACTACTTGTACCCCCTCTCTCCCCCTATCTCTACCCCCATTCTCTCTCCCCCCTATATCTACCCTCTTCCTCCCCCCATTGTCTAACAGACTTGGACTGCGCCCTCACATTTCACCTCCCCCCCTCTCTCTCCCGTCTTTGCCCCCTCCCTACCCCCATTGTCTAACGAACTCGCTTTACTTGTGCAAGCGGTGTGCATGCACGTGCGAGTTACGGACAGTGAGGTCGCATCGGGACGAACAGGTGCAGCGAGAGAGTGCAACGGAAAGGCGACGGCTAATTAAGATGCATAGCGGTGATTGGCTGGCTGCAAATGCAGGCGGCTAATTAAGATGCATAGCGGTGATTGGATGGCTGCAAATGGAGGCGCGGAACGGGCGCCAGGTTGGCTGGAGATTGAGGCGATAGCCGTGAAGCCACGGGCGTGAGGCGACGGGAGGTCGCCAGCCTAATTACTTAGGAGTTAATGAGGAGGGGGATATATACGGGAGCGTGAGAGAGAGGGAGTTGAGTTGGTCGGAGTGAAGACGAGAGGAAAGACGAGAGAAGTCGAAGGCCCCGCTCTCCACACCTCGCCCTCTCCAGCGGTGACGGCTGAACTCCCACTGGAGGCAAGGGCGAGGTTGGAGAGGCGAGGGTAGAAAGGCTAGCAGTAGAGAAGCTAGCAGAGAGTATAGCTAGCAGTGGAGAAGCGAGCAGAGTATAAAGTGGAAGGCTAGCAGTAGAGAAGCTAGCAGCGTATATAGCGGAAGGCTAGCAGTGGAGGAGCTAGCAGAGTATAGAGCGGTAGGTTAGCAGTGGAGAAGCTACCAGAGTGTATATTAATATGCTAGCAGTGGAGAGGCTAGCGGAGTGTACGGTGGGAAGCTATGAGAGTGTGTAGTGGTAGGCCAGCAGCGGAGAGAGGGAAGCGAGCGGAGCGTGGCAGGCAGGCTAGCGGTTGAGAGGCTAGGAGAGGTGAGAGCAGGCTAGCAGTAGAGATGCTAGGAGGGAGAGCAGGGAGGGAGCCAGGGTGTGGCTGGAGTTCCGCCATGCGCGGCCGACCCACGCCGTGCCGGCCTTCAAGGAGCAGTGGGCACTGGAGGAGGCCATGTGCTCGGTGTCAGATGACGGAGAGCTCTGCATGCAGATCTGAGCTACCGTCGGAGGCCGTAGGACTGCGAGAAGGGCTTGGTGCAGATGCAGCACTTGTTGTTAAAAATTTTATTGTAATATTACAAATATTACATAGAAAACATAGGGGGAACATAGCCATGGAGTAGGGAGAGGGGGGGGTAGAGAGAGGGGGAAGGGGTAAGAAGAGCAGAGCGTGAAATATTTTATGAAATCGTTCATTTCAAAAGGGGGGGGGGTACATAAAGCAAAGTGCCGAACGAAGCAAAGTGCCGCCTACACCGAGCATATTCTTGTTTCCTCTGATCGTACAAAAAGAGTGAGCGGAGCGAAGCAGGTGAGCAGCGCAAGCGGGAAAATCACGACGGAGTTACGGGGTGTCGAACACGAGGAGTTCTGTTTTAATAGAAAGTGACGCAGGCGAAAAAGGAGTTGTGAAATAAAAACACTACTAAAAAAACCCATTTGCGCTGGCTACCCCGCCCATGCTGTTGACGCCGCACAGCTTTGCACACTCTGAAAGCCCTTAGAAGCAGTTGCTTTGGAGGCTTGCCCCCTCTTTTCTCTCCGCCTGATGAAGACCGCTTGTGTTGCGATCGAAACGTCGAGGGTTTTTTGTTTTTATTATTTTCAATTTGTTATTTTTGTTTAATTAAAAAAATGTTTTTATCTACCTGACTTTACCGAAAGAACCAAGAATATTAATTCCTTGCAGTCACGAAAGTTTTAAGTCTACATTTTTTTAGTTTCATCAATGTCAAAATTTACCATCCACACTTATCCTCCTAACCTATTGGCAAGGACAAATATCGCCCATATGTAGGCTGTATAGGCTGTTGGGGCAAGTGCTGTTCGCACACAACAGTGTGCGGTGGTTGGACCTGATTGGAAGTAGAGCAAACTTAGGGGAGGCGTAGGACTAGTTTAGGATAATCGCCACCGTCGTTGGCCGAGAGTGGGAATGGAACTTCTTGCTGGGTGCGTAGCACAGTGTGCAAACCACTACACTATCATTCACCATCTCGGCAACAAACTCGCTGTCACGTACACAGACAAAACAATCTCACATTCACTCAGCCTCCTATCAACTCACACACACTCCTGACACAAAAAAACCTTTCAGTTGTAATAAACAGACTTGTCATATATACATGATCACCATCTCATCCATATCTTCACTGACTTTGTAACTTGTTATCTTGTCATCCTGATAATATTGAAAGTTGTGTTTTCTACCTCAAACGAGTGTGGAGTGATGCTCTTTGCCTATTGACATCCCCGAGTTAGAGGTGACAATTCCACATTGCTATGGCAG